ATTTTATTAATAACTCCATACCCATACATGTAAATAATCTTTAAATCAATCAGCTAGAAGCTTGTTTTTTATATTAATGTAAATAATCTTTAAGAATCGTAGTAATTTGCCTATTATTTTAGATCCTTAACTCTTAAATATATTCGTATTATTCACATATGGATTTATACAATTTTTTTGTCGAACTCAACATATCTTTTGCGTTCAGCTTTTAATCATGTATAATAGAGGTATGTATTATATTTCATATTATATCCATCCCATATTTTACTAACTATGCTTATTACTTTATATTGTAGAAACTTAATATTACACTTGTGAAGCTTACTCATGACAAGAATTTGTAGGATTGATAAGAATAATCTTAAGTTTTTATGGATAAATATTATGTAATCTGCTCAAAATATCATCTTATAGCAATCTTAAGTTTAAAGGCTAGTGGTACACAAACGGTTAAAATTATCATTTCATAAATGACTAAAACTTACTCCTCGATTTGATCTACCATAATCAAGTACACATTGCTTGTTGTTTTAAAATTTGCACTAAGCTCACTATTCCCATCATTCTAGTAAAATACTCCTAACTAAAGCACGAGAAAATGAAGTTTTTTTTGCCTTTTTGATATAGTGCTTGTGTTTACTATGAAATTAGTAAACCTTTCTTACATTACAATAGTTTCTGTTAAAAGTAGGAACATTTCCTAGATAAACTGGAAAATTTTGTAAAATATTGTATTCTTTTTCACCAGTATAATGAAAAGAATTTTGCGCGTTGACAAAACAAATAGAAAGAAAAGACAAGGGTACAAGTAGAGGTGGCAAAATGGGCGGGATGGGCGGGATTTGCTTGGGTTTGAGATGGAACCGAGTCATATGGATTTGGGTCCAACCTTACCCATATGTGTTTTGGGACTAACTTGGGCGGGATCATTTTGGGATGGGTTTAGATTCATCCCGCCCAATACCCAAATTCATTTTCTACATAATTTTTTTCCTTTAATTCATTTTTTTTATATAATTTTAATATTTTTGATTTATTAAATTTCTTTTAGTTTTATTAAATAAACATGCAAGTGCTTTATACTCAAGATTCCCACCAAAAATTGGATTAACAAATAAAGGAAAAGATAGATATACAGCCATATTCCAACATATATCAAGATGGCCAAGGTCCTTAGGATGTTGAATATTTATCCTCATCATTGTCCAAGGATGACAGGTCTAAACTAACTGAAATGCTGGAAATTCTTGTGGATAATGACTAGAAAGACTACTAGATTATATTCGCTGGTATGACTATAAAAATTGTTAAAGATAATTTTTGAATCTAAGACTTCGTTTGGATTGACTATTTTTTCAAAAAATAAGTTTTTCAAATACAATGTTACAGTAATATACAATAACTCAAGAAATATCCCATCCATATTAGTATATCAAATATTTCAAAAAAAATTTATAGTAAAAATTTTTCATATACACGGCTACAATAAAATATTTCAAAAACACCTACCAAAAACAGCTAATCCAAACGGAGCCCTTGCCATTTGAGCCCAATGGGTACCCAAGTATTTCCCATCCTTTCCCATTCATTAATGGGTATAGTTGGGATGTGTCCCAACTTAAACCCAATACCAAATTATAATACCCATCCCGCCCAAAGTTCCTTTGGGCATGGGTAGCCCATTGGGACTTGGGACAAATTGCCAGCTCTAGGTACAAGTATAAAGGTGAGCAAATACAATAGGTATCTCATCATGAGTTTAGATATGATTTATATAAGGAATAAATAATTTAGTCATTAGTCGATATATGATACATATTAAGGGTTAAGTGGTTTTAGTTGCAATACAAAAATGAAAATGTGTTTTTTTTTTAAAGATGTTCAATGGTGATTTCCAACAAATGGAAATATATTTTAGTATATACCAGTTATGCATAAAGGAATTTGCAGGTTAGACCGAGTAATTAAGTACCCAATTCTTTTTTTAAAGTACCTATTATTTATTTCAATACTAAGTTTAAATAGTTGCATTTGGATAGAACAATGTTAACGGCACTTCAATTATAATGACACTACTTTTACATTGATAAAAGCTGGTCTAGAAAATGAAATTCCCATGGCAATAATTATTAAAATGAAGAAACTTTTTCTTTTAAGAAAAGCAATAACTAAGTACCCACAATAGTCCACTTTTATTTTTTTTAAAAATCTCAACCTGTTAATTAAATTCAAAACATTGCTATTATAAAAAAATATTCTCCTCAAATTAACATCAATAAGTATATATGAGATACAAATATGGTAAAATATCTCTCATATGCATATCGTAGATATTTGAAAATTTCGATAAAAAACTTTTTTGTTGCCAAAATAACATGATATTCTATTGTGATATTATTTGAGGATTCATTTTTAAGAATATTCTCTCGAAACAAAAATAATAATTGGCTCTTCTTTTCAAGTATTATTATACTAATTGTTACTTTGAGAGCATTAATGTTTTTCTATTAAATCATTAGTCAAGGGGAGAAAATTTAGGGAAAAATAATATGAAGAGGGAAAAGTGCAAATAATACTAAATGTTAGGGATTTAAGAAGCAAAATTTTTCTTTTTCAATAGTAAGTTCAATTCAAAGATGAACGATAAATGTATCACCATCTAATGTTGCATCTCAATAGTGAACTTGGGAAGAATTTAACCATGAGCTAGAATGGGAACCACAACTATAGGCTTGACACCTCTCCGATGTGGGATATTAATTCACACTTGATATCCCAACAATCTCCCCCTCAATTGTGAATCTCTTCCACATCGGACCTCTCTCCCTAGCCCATCCACTCCATCAAGCCCACTTCAATCTGGAGTGTACGATTCTTGCTCAAGAGCCCACATGCCCTTGCCTCACTGCAGGTCTACATGATTTTTTTTTCTGCCGCTCTTATCCAAGCCACACCTTACCACTCCCACTGGCTTTTTATCCTGAAGTCACTACCCAACCGAACCATCGGCTCTGATACCACTTGTTGGGCTCTGAGAGAGCCAAACTCGGGGAGAATTTAACCATGAGTTAGAATGGGAACCACAATTATGGATTTGACACCACATCCAACCCAAAACCTTAAGGTATTGGGTCTATGAATAATTCCCACTTATATGTTTCTCATTCTACTCATCTCTTTCCGATGTGGGATATTAATTCACACTTGATATCCCAACAAAAACTGAAACTGGTTTTGTCTTGTTCATGCTTTGTACATACCGTATATGTTGACAGAAATATGACATTTATTATATTAGCAGAAAAGTATGAAATATGACAGAAATATATTTTAGTGGTTTTAATGCCACGAAGGAGAAAATATTGGAGTGTGTTTGGATAGTAGATTATTTGAAATAATTTTTTGACAAACATAACTTAGCATTTTCTGATGTGATGTATGTGAGATAAAAAATGATTGAAAAATGTGTTGATGATGCAAGTAAATAAAATTTCACAAATAATAGACTACAGTATCGAGTAGTACTACATTGCATGGAACTAATCTATGAATCCTTAAACAGAATGTGTTCATAGTTCTGAGTTCAATTGAAGCTGGTAATTTACCCCAGTACCATACATGTGTTCTAGTGGTAAACAAACTTAAGCAATTGTCAGAGAATTAATACACATAGTTGGTTAACAAACAAAAGGATGAACCAAGCCGGCCTGCATAGATTGCAGCTTTTTCTTCCATGTCAATCTTATCAGCACCTTTAATTTTCCAATCAGCATGGGATCATTATTGCTGCCGCAAGTCCTGAAGCAGGGCACCCTCACCTTCCAACTCCAAATGGCACGGCACACATAGCTAAAATTCTGCACTTTTGTACCTTCCTTACAGTCGTGGTGAATCGAATGGATTGATTCTCCACAGAACTGACCATATGCTTTTCAGGCTTAATTAGGGAGTGTCTTCCATTTAATTTGGATCACGGTTGATGGCATTCAACTTCACCACGAACCTGGAATTGTTACCGATGTTCTAACCATTGGCTTTGAGTTTTCCGTACATTTTGGGATCGTTAAAGGTTGAGATGGATGAAATCTTATTGTTTCTTTGTCAATAGCTTGCAAGTATGGCAGCTTTGGAACATAGGATCCGTCTTAAATTAGCCTTTCAAGTCCTACAACTGACTTTATATGGCTCTTCTTGGAGTTTCATTTACACCTTTGGATGATTAAAGAGCTCTGCCATTGACAGTTCTTGCATCAGTTCCCCCCAAGAAAAGATCCTGTCTTTTTATACAACAATCAGCAGTCAGCACAGAACTAAGTAATCATTCTTGGTACAAGCCCCAAAGATGAATCTTACGATTCTTTTCTTGCGCTGTGATATCCAAAATGGCCAAGCTCTAGTTATTGAATGGTGCTAGTAACCTTTCTCCTCCATTATTGTCAGAAGCAAGAATGGAGGAGGTGGGTTTTCGTCAATAAGTACAAATTCACAACTAAAATACAAATTCAAAAGCATGATATAGTTATATTTGCTTTCTAAATAATTAAGGTCACATTAATTTACACATATAGTTGCTAAGCTTTTTCTTTGATTTTAATACTATAATACAAATTATCCTTTACACGACCTTTTTTCGTCATTGTTTTCTTCCCTAAATCCCAAACAATAGGAAAAATCTTTAAAAAAACCTAAAATACAAATTGAAACACATGGTATAGTTATATGAGTAAATCTTATATACACTGATAGTGTATATATTATCATGACTTGATTTATGACATATATGCAAAAGCTAAATTTCAAATTCAAATTTTGCATAGTTGTCATTTATCCAACGCTGATAGTGTATACATTGTCAGCATAGGAAAGATTAATTCTAGTTTAATTGCTTTCTAATTAAATAGGCCTGCATTTAATACCATACATAAATTATAAATAAACTTCATCTATATATTTACATGGTTAATCCAAGACACAAATAGATAAAACCCGAAAAAATTAATCGTAAGTAAGTCAGTTTGAGTCGTTTTTCCATTTTTCCTTTCTTTTTTAATAGCAAGCCTGAGTGAATTGTTAAAAATTTGGAACTCGGCACAGAATTAGTTCCTAAGTTATTCCATGGTCCAAAATTTGATTCAGCATCATGCTTTTGGTTCGTGAAATAGGTTCCATAAACCAAGGACATGAAAAAGTGAACGCCACACAATTGGCACCTAAAATAAGGAATTCTTGTATGGGATATATAGCAGAGAAGCAGAATAGCAGCCTGAGATTTTGAGAAGAAATTTCTGACTCTCGTTACGAGTGAACTGCAAAAGGGTTGAAATGTGTAATGGGGTAGCAGAGAAGCGGATGAGCCATTGCATTAGCCAACCCAGCCTTTTCTTCCATGTCTATCTCTTTCCCTCCTTCCACCTCAAAATCAAAGCACTGAGCAAGTGCGGCAATCACTCCATGAACAGCAGCTAAAGCCAGAGACGCACCTGGACACCCTCTTCTTCCTGTACCAAAGGCCAACATCTTGAAATTTTTCCCTCTAATATCCATTTGATACGGATCGTAATGTCCTCCGGATTTCTCCATGAACCTCTCGGGTTGAAAATCTAGCGGATTTTCCCATGAACTTGGGTCCCTCATGATGTCAATCAAATTGAATAATACCCCTTCATTCGCTAATATATCATAACCACTGATCTTACAATCCTTCACGCATCTACGAAGAAGCACGGCTGAAGGAGGGTGTAGTCTTAAGCTTTCTCTAATGACTGCTCGCAAGTAAGGAAGATTTGGGATATCTGATTCCTCAACAAGCCTTTGTGAACCAACAACTCTATGAATTTCTTCTTTAAGCTTCTTGAATTCTTGAGGGTGGTTGATAAGCTCCGCAATCGTCCACTCTAAGGCTTTGGCTGATGTTTCGGTGCCTGCTGTAAAAAGTTCCTGTTCAAGTTTCAAAAAATCGTCAAGCTTAGATTGTTTCGGATTGTAAATTTAGTGTGTTGAACGAACGAACGAGCTAGTTAGAATTCTTGATTAAGTCTTAAGTCCCGGAAATTCCATGCATTCTTTTCAAATACTCAGGAAGGTTGAGAGAACGTATGAAACCTAGCTCGGATGTTACTAGAGATCAATCACACAACAAAAGGGATCCAAATGGATCGACATCAAATTGTTTGACAAAAATTAACTCGGAGTTCTGAGGAAAGAGAATACCGTCTCTTTCACAACTTTCAAATTTTCTAAAATCCCAAAAGAAAAAAAAAGTGCATGCAGATAATATTGTCTCTTTTACAGTATCAAATTTTCTAAAATGGAAGTTGGTGATGCAAACAATAGAACCTATATGCAACGGGTGCATGACTTGAATGAGTTGTATACGTTGCTTGGTTCTTAACAATTCAATTTTGTGTATCAGAAACAATTTTTACAGTTAATGACAGCTTAAGTAAATTATAGTTAGGTGTGAGAGATCACCAAGATCAAGGCCTTGATGTTCTTTCTGGTTAGCTTCACTTCAGCATTTTCATCCCTGTAAACATCCAAGAGCAAATCCATAAGATCCCTCCTTTCCTTTTTTCTACAAAAGCGCATATCCTCCTCATGCTTACTCATTATCTTTTCTACCAGTGTATCAAAACTTGAAAGCAAAGTCTTCAGCTTTCTCCCATAGCCAAATAAATCAAGTTTCCCCAGCAAAGGACCCAATATCTCGCCAAAGGTTAATTTGGCCAGTAGGTCTTCTATCTCTTTAATAAACTCCCAGACCTTCTTACTCTCATCTTCACTGGCGGAACACCTCGTGCTCATCACTATCCTGCATGTATAATTGTTTGTGAGTCTCAAAAACTCCTTTCCAAGATCGCATGACTTACCTTCATAAGAGCACTTAACAAGGGTTTCCAACAATTTCATCGTCTCATCTCTTCTGATATCAGTGAATCGGCTGACCTGTGCTAGGGAAAGAAGCTCAGTCATACACAATTTCTTCATGAAACGCCAATACGTCCCATATTCCGCGAACACAAACGTTGAGCCGTCGTATATATTGAACCATGAATATCCCACTACAGGCCTCGAGATGAAATTCATCTCATTGTCTTTCAATATTTCTTTTGCAATCATGGCACTAGAAACTATTACAGAAGTTTTTGAAACCAACCGGAGCCGCAGGATGGGACCATAGCGGGAGGCCAGGGTTTGGAAGGATTTGGCTGTTTCTGGACCAAGCAGATGAAAATGTCCAATGAGTGGCAATGCCGGAGGACTTGGAGGGTGTTGGATTGGTGTTTTAGATTTCATCCGCCCCTTTATTGCATGGGAAAGAAAAAGGGAGACGGCCAAGAACAAAAGAAACATTAATAGAAGCGGATTGAACAGAAACATTTCTGATACCATCATCAGAGCCATTTAAAATTCCAGAAGTATATCCGGATAGATATCAGAAATTGGTACGAGTTTATGAACTGAAGTTTATGAAACATATATAGGCGCAAATTATTAACTTCCCAAAAGTCCAGCAACAAGAGTTGGTCTCTTGGGAGAAAACAAGAGCAATTTAACTATATCATATAGGATTCAGCTCTCCTGCGGTTGCAGGGGGACCGGACTGTGAAGTGACCGCATACCAAACGAATCCTATCATATCACATCAAAAATATCAAGTTTTGGGTGGAATAGTTTTAACCAAAATTAATGCTGCATGACATTTGTCGTGTCAAGTTGAACCACTTCTGTGTCAAGGCACTTCATTTTCCTCTTGATCCTTTGTCACATTTCTTGGATACAATACACTCTCAATAATGCTAAGGATTCTGTCAAATTTTTGGTGTAAGACATTGGTATTAGAGCATTGATTGAAGTAGTCAAGTGACATGTTTCTTGCATAATCTCCCAAGCATATCTAGGGCTTGTTTGGCAAATGAATTTTTGGACAAATTTGTCTCTTACCAAATTTTAACAACTTTAACTACAGTGGCAAACCTAAAATATAGAAAACAACTATATCATATATAGAAAAGCCCAGCAACAAGAGTTGGTCTCTTTGGAGAAAACAAGAGCAAATCATTGTTTGGATCCCCTGTTTTTGGAGTGTTTTTCAAAAGTTAATTTTTCAAATACAATAAAAATTTTTAAAAAGTACTCTAAAAGATAATCTAAAAATTAGTTAATTTTTTTTAAAATTTTAAAAAATATCTCAAAATATATTCTAGAAACTTTTCTACTCTTAAATATCTCAAAATATTTTCTAAAAATATTCTAAAATATACTTTAAAACGCTCCCAAAAATAACTAATCCAAACGGACATATAGGATTCGTTTGGTATTCGGTCACTTTACAATCCGGACTGTGAAGTGACTGCATGGCATTTGTCGTGTCAAGTTGAACCACTTCTGTGTCAAGGCACTTCATTTTCCTCTTGATCCTTTGTCACATTTCTTGGATACAATACACTCTCAATAATGCTAAGGATTCTGTCAAAATTTTGGTGTAAGACATTGGTATTAGAGCATTGATTGAAGTAGTCAAGTGACATGTTTCTTGCATAATCTCCCAAGCATATCTAGGGCCTGTTTGGCAAATAAATTTTTGGACAAATTTGTCTCTTACCAGATTTTAACAATTTTAACTACAGTGGCAAACCTAATATATAGAAAAGCTCTCCATAGTTAACTATATCATATATAGAAAAGCCCAGCAACAAGAGTTGGTCTCTTTGGAGAAAACAAGAGCAAATCATTGTTTGGATCCCCTGTTTTTGGAGTGTTTTTCAAATACAATAAAAATTTTTAAAAAGTATTCTAAAAAATAATCTAAAATTAGTTAATTTTTTTAAAATTTAAAAAAAATATCTCAAAATATTTTCTAGAAACTTTTCTTCTCTTAAATATTCTAAAATATTTCCTAAAAGTATTCCAAAATATACTCTAAAAACTCTGTTACAGCAAAATTTTTCAAAAATACTTCCAAAAAACAGTTAATCTAAACGGACATATAGGATTCGTTTGGTATGCGGTCACTTCACAATCCGGACAATGAAGTGACTGCATGACATTTGTCGTGTCAAGTTGAACCACTTCTGTGTCAAGGCACTTCATTTTCCTCTTGATCCTTTGTCACATTTCTTGGATACAATACACTCTCAATAATGCTAAGGATTCTGTCAAATTTTTGGTGTAAGACATTGGTATTAGAGCATTGATTGAAGTAGTCAAGTGACATGTTTCTTGCATAATCTCCCAAGCATATCTAGGGCCTGTGTTGGCAAATGAATTTTTGGACAAATTTGTCTCTTACCAGATTTTAACAACTTTAACTGCAGTGGCAAACCTAATATAACAATCCTATGTTTGGTATGTGGAAATGATCTAGAATGGAAAACTATTTCAATTTTTAATTTGTATCTTCTACTATCATGTTTTCATTTCGAGTTGGAATCTCCAAGCTAGAAAGTTCATTCATATTATTTCTTGCAAATCCTGATTCTCAACAAATGTCGGGGAAAGCTATTTCCAGCTTTATATTGAAATTATCAGAATAATTGAGTCAAGTTAATATACATAAATCTCTTTAATCAAATACAATATTTTAGACTATTTGTAAGTTTAATTAATAATTAATTGTACATTTCCCACAACAAAAGATTCTAGTTATTTATAATTGTTTTCCTCTTTTCTATTAAAGAAATGTGTTGCTGTTTTTAACTTTTAAAAATGTGGAAGAACTTTTTTCATCTTGATATAAATAATTAAAATAGAAAAGATAGTCCGACTTAATATAACTTATTTGTTTTATGAATTCATCTATAAAGTGTTGCTATATTCTTTCTTCGGTCAAAGAGACTAAGGCTGATCTTAGCTAAAACATCCACATAAGAATTACCTTCCCAAAAAAAAAAAATGCAATAATTTTTATTCCCAATTTAGGCTTAAGAGATTTCGAACTTTATATATGAGATTAAAACGGGCATGCTCCTTGGTAGCATGAAGAACTAAATGCACCCCTATGTTAAAGTCCAAATGTTAGGACTGGTCCACATTGAAACAAGGTTAGAGAAAATAATTGGATAACACGATTATAATGCACTAGACTTCGGAAAATTGCAATGTAGTACTAGAATAGATTGTTAATCACATTGTCCATCAAAAGGCATATGTTTTGGCATTTTTAACGGCCTTGTACGTCTTGGTTTGCTTTAGATATTACAGAAACTGATAATAGAAATTGACCACAAAGAGTAATCATAATTAGCTAAAATTATATTTCTATTTGGTAAATTTTACATTTTACTTTCTTTGAATTGATAAGAAAATTTATCCCATTTTGTATCCCACCCATGCCTCACCATTTTACGGTATCGGTTTTTGCCCTCAAGCAGATGCCTCCATTTACCCCTAAGAAAATTGAAGTTATGCTACTTTTTTTCGCCAATGTTTTCATCGATCTATGCCAATTCAATATATAAAACATTTATGTTTAACCATTCTGATATAGCTAATTGGCATCGTCATGTTAATTGAATGTTAACATATATAGCATGCATGCTTGACTATGATGGTCGACTTGATAAAATTGCATATGATGGCATCATTGACATTTGAAAACTGAAAGTTCAAAGTACGAAAAGATGAGAGAGTAGGGTCAATGTTACATTGAAGAGTTTCATAAGTGAAGTTAACTAAGCACACAATTCAAACTTGTTCAAGAACCCCACCCACAGGTAGTAATCAAACTGAAAAGACTTCTAAATCTTGTTAGCAAGCTCCAAAGGATTCAAATGCGTAACGGGATAGCATAGAAGTGGACGAACCATGGCACCAGAAAACCCTGTCCATTCTTCCATGTTTAACCTTTGCCCATCCTGGACTTCAAAATCAAAGCACTGAACAAGAGTGGCAATAAGCCTAATACACATATAAACATTAACTTTCAGAAACGACACTTTCTTTGGCTAGAAGTTCCCTATTAGAAAGTTTCTTTGCAACACAAAAGATTCACTAGCTTGTTTTTTTTGCTAGAGAGAAAACCAGGATGCTTAGTTGTCCCTGTCGTTGATTCTTGAAGTTGGATGTCACATTTCCATAGGATGGCTGAAATGTAGACAACCAAGTCCCACCAAACAAGACCAAGCCCTTGTCTCAAGTTCTCATCAGCTTGATGGTAAAACACAATACCGACTAGCAAGTTGCAATGCACCAAATTTGGGGCCTGCAGAAGGCAACTATTCTCCTTGGCTGATTGGTTGATATAATTGAAGGAGATTATCTTACCTCTGCAATCAGCATTGCCGGTGGCCTTTCATCACTTTGAGCAAACTGGAAATTCATCAAGCGACCATTAGTTATCGTACAAGTTGGCATGCCACGATCGAAATAATTTCTTCAAACGCATTCTATGATTGACATTTGAACTGTCGGAAATAAATTTTGGATTTGCACCATTGTTAATGTACGCTTACTGCATTATCGAAGACTGGGTCTGAATTTAATTAATTAAGAACTCAACCTTTAACCACCTATCGGATACAGTATTGGAAACTTGATCAATTTGTGAATTATTATATGAGTTTGATGAGGCCTGCAAATGTTAGTTGAGCATCCTTTTCCATGGATGTCCCCAATCTTTGGCCGATGACTGAGCATGAAAGACGGCAATCACAATCAAGCATCTTTGTAGCAAAGACAGCCCAGATTCTTGATTACTACAAAAATCTGCCTTATGGCCTAATTAAAGAAGGATTTAGATACCTTCTTGCCTTCATCCCTTGGTACAGTAGAATTTTGTCTGGACTCTGATAAAAGAATTATACTGCACCACAGTTGCTAGATTATTGTTAATCACATGGTCCATAAACTATGTGTTACAGGCATTTTTAATGGCTTGTTTTCAATTGCTGTAGATATTACAAAAATTCGTGTCTCGTTATAGAAACTAAATATAAAGAATAATCAAAATTAGCTAAAGTTACTATTTGGCTGAATTCGGTTTTCAGTTTTTTTTTTTTTTTGGCAGAAAATTAGAACAAAAAATGATTTTTTTTTTATAAAAAAAAAAAAATTGATCATCTAAAATCAGAATTTATAATTAGGTGAATTAATTAAACAAGAACATAGTTCATTTTTTATTTTGTTTTGGGCCAACAAATATGGGGCTTCCAAATGCGAGTGCAGTTGGGCCTCAGTGATCCAAGATGGACTGGAGTAAAAGCTCTATTGTTCATTCATACAACCAATGACAACTGACATAAATTCTGAAAAAATTGTGATCGCTACAGTTACCCTAGCTATTTGTGAAATGAATTTTAATTTTCATAATAAATTTAGAATTCTCAATGAAGAATTCTAATAAAAAAGATACTGGTAATATTGTTGGACCGTCCTAAAACACAACAGAACCCAACCCAGAATAGATTGTAAAGCCCAAATAATTGGTGTGAGAAATTTTCCACTCATTGTCAGTGATTGTAAAGTTCGAGATATCATTTAGCAAAGAAGCAAGCTATTTCACAACTTGTCCTTCTAA